ATTATAAACCCCCCCCCAAAAAAAAAAAAAATTCTAATGATTTTACAACATAATACATTGGAACTTGCCCGTGAGTAGTTTTTGCTGATCTAAGTTACAGCCCTCCAAAATTTCAAACACTATTTGCTCCTATGCTTGTTGTAGAAGTGTGGAACAAATATTTCATACCTCATTATATATTGGTATTATATTATTCTGGCCCTTTAGTAAAATTGCGTGCCTCAAGCAGGTTAGGTTAGTATGGCCTCAAGTTGACCTTATCAAATACAAGGTATACAATCCTGGCGCCACCACTGGTATGAATACATGATGACCGGACCACCAAGGCACCAAACACCAAAATGTTTCCCACACAGGGGCATCGTATGTTTTCAGCGCTACCGGTGGTTATATTTTTTTAGCGTCATATTTTGTATCCTAGTCCACAAATTGTATACAGATAGCGTTCTAAACTATCGGTGTCCATCATGATACCACCCAGCAATTGTCTCTATAGTACATATTATACTACATTATTACATATACCCATTCTTGCCCACTTACTACGTTTATATGATGGCGTTAAATCGGTTTTAAATTCTTAAACTACATAGTTCGAGCATTTTATCTTTTAAAACGGCATACATTTTTTTAACCGTTTTAACGCCATCATAAACGTAGCACCTCGGTCTGCTCGTTTCCAGTAATTTATTATATCTTAGTAATTTTTTTTTTTTAAATTAAAAGCCGTTCTGCGCGCTAGTCAAATTTAAACCATCGTAACAAAATTACAGTCGAGATCTACCGAAATCATTTCGATTCCAATCCATTACATCACTAATCACAGTCCGTGATTAACACCTTATATTAGATACATCCTTATGGCCAAGATGGATTATCGATTCAATATAATGTCATCATAACATAACAATATTTAGCTTATAGAGTACAATGAATCTACAAACAATAGTCCAGTATAAAAAGTCCGGTTTATTTATCGTATATTTATATACAGGGTGATTCTTTTATCAAACAACACTTATATGGTGTTTGTGTGTAAATACCACCTAACATACACCTATAACACACAAACACCACCAAAAACCACCTAACTTTGGGAGGCTATATCTTGTAAACGGATCAACGAAAAATGAAAATTCAAACGTGAAAATACATTAAAAAAACAGCCTTTTTAGTATATGAAATTTTAAGTATAGGTTGTCATTTAAAAATCAAAAGTTGATAATGGTTTACCTGATAAATATAAGGGTGAAAATATTTAAAAAATATATAGTTCTAGAACAAGATGGATCTACAATTTTGAAAAAAAAAAAATTTGAAAAAAGTCAATAGTTTTTGAAATAATGAGTGTTGTTTGATAAAAGAATCACCCTGTATATTTATTAATTAATATTAATATTAGGACACGGCCGAGGTTTATAGTCTCGACTCTCGAAGCATATACATTTTTTATTCTGAATTCAAATGTAACAATTGTATTATATTTATAGGTTTCTAATAACATAAATTTTTTCTTGTACGACATGAAATTTTATTTTTCTGTATTATATTTTTATTCAAAAGTAACGATCAATCTGACTAAAAATTATAATGTCATATATTTATTTTTATTGTACCTTTATAATATTGATTTAAGTTGAAAAATACTTACTTATAAATAAACCGGACTTTTAGGTACCTAGAATCCCGAGTGCTATATCACCCTGTGGCTTAGCTAATAGACAATAGCTATAAATAGTATAAATCATAATGCTGTAGGTACATAATTAATTGTTCCACCCACAATAGATATATTATTATGTTTTGTAATTTTGTAGTTTTGTTCCATTTTCCGAGATATAGGTAATATCTTATACGCATTATCGTCTGACCGCTGGGCCAATCGAAAAAAACGTGTGCGAGCAGTGTGCGTTCGGTTTTGAGTTCGTCTGGGGGGGATTGGTCAACCTGCAGCGAGTTAGATAAGAACAATTTAATTAATATTGTTATTATTAATAATAATAATAATAATAATAATAATAATAATAATAATAATAATAATAATAATAAAAAAAGAAATAATTTATACTTAAATAGAACATTGATTGTTATTTGTCGGTACTCGGTAGTCGGTACTCTGTTTTTATTAATGGCCTCGTCCTTTGCGTGTTATTTATTCCGTCAAACGTGATCAACGTTTTGGCGTCCATTACACGGATGTCTCAGAACAGCCCTCAAGTGCGGTAAGTCACCATTACGGTACCATTTCTTGTTTTCACATAACAATATACTTACAAGCACAATGCGCACACACTTGCTCACTCTCGTCACATAATAATTATATTGTTRTTACCCCCATATATCATATACACACCATGTCACATTTTGATGTACAAAATGTTATACAGTCTACTGTGCTCGTACGAACAAATGCACAAATTATTATATTTATACTTGTAAAACGCTTGCACAGATTGTATTGTTCATCGTTATTATTTGGTGACTTTAGGGTTTGGTGATTATAACAACAGTTGTCTGTGTTTGATTCGGGATTACGATGACTGCCGATCACTTTTGTTTGAAATGGAACAACTATCCTTTGAACATGGTCACCGAGTTGGACAGTCTTCGTACCAGTGAAGACCTAGTAGATGTAACCTTATCATGTGATGGACAGTTGTTCAAAGCTCATAAAGTTGTGTTGTCTATGTGCAGTACTTACTTTCGAAATGTGTTCAAGGTAAACCAAAAGACTTTTTTTAAAACTGCACTAAATTTTAMATTTGATGTTGTTCTAAGATAATAGATTTCTATGTACATATTTTAATATATTAGTTATATTTTCAGGATAATCCTTGTAGACATCCAGTTGTAATATTGAAAGATATAAACCAAGACGATGTCCAGGCATTGCTCAATTTTGTGTACCAAGGCACTGTTTACATATCAGAGAAAAAATTAGCATCATTTTTACGGACTGCAGAATTACTACAGATAAGAGGTTTAGCTGGTGCAGCTTCTACAATAAATACAGATCTAGTATACAATATTGTTCTTCACTTAAATACAATTATTTAATGGTTAATTTATTTTTAGGAGTCAACCCGGACAAGTTTGGAGAAAAATGCTGTACCTCCACTACAGCAACTTTCTACTAATAACAATCAAGATGAAAAACATGATACATCAACCTCAACAGAAAAATCTGATTCCCCTAAATCTCCCAGTGAAAAAGTTTCTGCAAAACGAAAGAAGTGTCTTCCAGTAAAATTGAAAAAACAATTTGACAATGGCACAGAGTTTATGGTGAACTAAAGTTTAAATATTTCTAAATYTTAACAATGGCTAATTCATTATTTTATAGGATGAAACAACTGGTAGTGAAACTGACATATTGAGTCGGTTAAAAGTCGATGATATTGATGATGGAAATGTAGATACTGACTGTTATATTGATGAAGAAGGCTCAAAAGATGAATTTTGTGATGATCCATATGCCCAAGGACCTGATGTTGATGAATATGAAGATGTAGATATAGTTAAAGATGAATTTGTTTCACATTCTACCACAATTTTTGACAAGTCRTTAATTGCTTCTCGAATGTTGAATGATCCTAAAGGTAATTCATTTTTCTTATATTTCTTGTTTATTAAATTAACTATAGTCGTTTCTTTTAAATAAACTTATATAGATATCCACACAAGTACAGCTAGTGGTATTGAGTTTGCTATATCTTCAGCACAAACAAACCAATGTCCATCGGAACAATCATTAACAACTGCAGGTATTATACTCTTTCTAAATTAATATATATATATATATAGTATGCATATGATTGATAAAATATACCTATATATCTATAAACATAAATATCTAATAGAATATAAGTGTACTTAATTTTTAATTTTATAAAAGTAAACGAAAACAAATGTTTTCCATATATTTTTKGAAATCAATGTATTTCACGGCTTATAAGCCATGCAGGCGGTACACATATTTTTGCAGGATCCCACCTGGCTCAGTGTGGGGACTGCCCCCATTGTGGGCAGATGTACAACAACCAGTCGTCGCTGAAGTATCATGTGCGTTTAATGCATTCGGACTTGACGCGCCGGCTGTGTTGTTATCTTTGCCCCAGCTCATTTGTATATCGCGAGGCGTACAAAACGCACATGCGACAAGAGCACAATGTCAGATTGTGATGAATGGTGATATAATTTGTGTAAGTGGACAAAACGGTTGTTGGTCAGTCGGAGCATGGTGTATTGTTTGTAATGGGGGAGTCTMGAGCACTAAACATTCCAAATATGTACAAATTCAATAATTAACAATCTTTAAACATATATAACACCAATTAATTACATAATAAAATATAATATATTTATTAATAACTGGCTTTATGTTAATTCTAACATTGGAACTATACTATATTTGCAAGTATAAGTTCATTGTTTGATCAACAATATTTGTACACTATACTATTGTTCAAAATAATAATGACATACYATGTTATGGTCTTTATGTATTTGCCCACCCACATTTTAAATTCTGAGCGGAGCAATGAATAATGTGTGTGTGTGATTTTTTTATGTCTATTATCACCTTTTATAGCAGTAAAAGTGCTTAGGTTTTCAACTTCAATATTTTTTCTGATAGAGAAGTGAATCTAGTTAATAGTTACATCAAAATTTAAAAAAATGTCCAGGAATTGTCTCAATGAAAAACACATTTTATCTAAAACTAGCTTTCAACTAAATCTATTATCTTTTTTTTGGTTCAATTTTCAAAATACTTCCACTATTTATAAGTTATTTATGTTTGATATTTTTTTATTTTTCCTTATTTATCAATAAAATCATTTGATTGGTCCTAAAATTTAAAAATTTAATACAAAGTTCTTTATAAGTTGTTTTTATAACTTCAAAATATTAATTAAAGTATATTATACTTAGAAACATTTTTTTTGTGAACAAGTTAAATTGTTGATGCAATTTGCAAATTATAATGTACCTAGTTAATTGAAAAAGGTTAGGTTAGGCAAGGGGGAGGGGGCTTAGGGGGTATTGGTATCTCTAATCTTTAAATTAGGAACYTTAAATAATGCATGTGTTTATGTATTAAAAATTTCTCCTTACAAAAAAACAAAACTAAAATGATAAAATGCATAGCTTAAGCACCCTTAGTTTTTTTTCATTGAAACTGCGCCTATTTGTAAACCTATTTGAGACTTAGATTTGTTGTAATTTTGGAGACCGCGATTAAATATATATAATATTATGTAATCTTTGATTKTGATRTTAACCTAACACTTTTACATACATTAAAAGCTTTACTATACATAATTATAAATTATAAATGCTTAGGTTACATTATTTTTAGCTAGTACCTATTTAAATCATGCACCTTTTACACTGTTCTAACTGTTCTAAGGTAAGATGGTATTGACTTAAACGTTAATAAAAATAATAAAATACAATATAAATATGCACTTTTATAATTTTATAAAAAATTTTATGTTTTTGACTAAAAATAAATCAACCTATCTTAATACTAGCAGTAAAATAAATTACAGTAATAGCAATATCCAAAAAAATGACATGAAATATTGAAATATACTTGATATTGGTTGTTCGACCATCTCCGCTCAGAAACTATTTCTGTATACAATGATATAAACCGCTTGATTATCATTGAATTAAAAATTAACACCATCCATTAAACTGACACACTCAACACCTACTTACTCTATAGCATATTACCTACTTGCCCACCTTTTTTTGTTTGTAAATGTGGTACACATACWTTTTATGCATTGATGTTGATTTATTTTATTTCCCGTTTACACTAATTAATTAATTTTCAAAATATTTAACTTATATATTTATATCTGTATTGTGATTTAGCATGTTTCATAGGTATACTTTTTATTTAGTATGGATTTTTTGCATTTCATACCTTAAATTATTCAAATGTCTAATTATTAGACTTAAATATGATAATAATATGTTATATGATATTCTAAAGTTTCTTTTTAAATATCACTTGAAACAATGTCCACTATTATACTACTCTAGTTACATCTACATAAATAAAATAAAATTGATATTTTTGATAATTCCTTTATATTTCTATAATTTATGAAATTGTTTTTCTTTAAAATTTTTATATATTTGACATTTTAATATTCAACATTGAAAATCATTATTTTAAATTTAATGCAACAATAGTATTTTAGATATTTTTGTTCAATTAAAAGACAGGTGATATCTTAAAAATACATTTTTTTAGTATAGTATACAATAATATCTTGAGGCATGATAATCATTACTGTAAACTTTGCATTGATTAAATATAAAGTTAAGAGGCAAAAACCAAGTTGGCTATTTGGCTAGTAAAATGTATAAAAAGCTTTTTAATAGAATTAAAATTACATAGCATGATGTATATAAATTATAAACAGGTAATTGATA